AGTTCACTGTTTTAGTAATTGAGCTTAAAATAGGTCCTATCCTAAATAAAATATACAAATCATTACACTCATGTAGTAGTGAGTTGGGAATTAAGTAATCACAAAGTAAATTTATGTCAATTTTAGCAACATCAAACATCTGCTCAGTTAGCTGAAAAATAAAATGTTTTTTATCAGTGGAAGTCGAGCACATCATATGTTTTATAGCAGTATTAATGGTACTGCTATAACCAACAAACATGTATCTCTATGCCCCAACCAGATAAAAAGGGAAAAAGTTAATTGATTTCATATTTTTAAATCATCTGTGTATTCACCCCTTGAAATCCAGAGACATTCCAAGAGTGAACTATTTCTTAGTGGTTTCACAGATTATTGCTGGCATCTGGAAAGCATCTCACTCGCTCTCCACCTGCTGGCACTTTGTGACAAAGTTTCCTGTGGCACAGTTGTTACCACAAGAGACGGGTGAATCCAGTCCCACTCTGTGATGAGGAAAGAGGGGTCAGCTACATTAGATGTGTCCATGTCACATATGGAATATAACCGTCTTGTGTTATTATGATATTCACACCTATCTCATTGATGTGGCTCCCACGTGTTCACTGGACACAAGGTAAACTCATAAAGAACTTACGTATTCACGAGCCAGTGAAATATGTAGGTTACTGTGAAAAGCTCTGTGTATCTAGACAGCCCAAGACAAAATGAAAACTTTGAATGCACTGGATTATTTGTATTCAACACTCCAAAACCACAATAACTTTAACCATGAACATAGGTCAGCCTTGGCTACCACTCTCAGCAGAANCCTACCTGCAGCTCGTGCTAGCTGTTAGTGAGCCCACTCAGCTCCTGCCGAGGGCCTGCACAGGTGCACGGAGTTCCTAGCAGTGAAGGGTGCCTGGGCATGGTTGGTCCCCTGTTGAAATAGCTCATAGGACAGTGTCACTTGATAAAATGGTGGGATGGCTATGATAATTTGCTTTAAATTGTTTTTAACATTTCAGTTTCAAATTTTTACTGCATAGGAATATGTTAATTGATTTATCTTAAAATGGCAAAATGAGGAAATCAGAAAATTAAAATGAAATTACTCATACCGCTTACTACAAAATATGTTGTCACATTAAGATTTTAGGTAAAACAGGGATTTTTGTTATACATTAGTTTGAATTCATGCACTGAATTCTTAATTATATTACTATTTCCATTATGGTTTTGAATCATATTCTGATTTTTACAATTTGCATTTTATGTCACAGAATGAAAATATTCAATTATAAGAATTATTGTACGAATTATTTTTGTATTTTTTCAATTGTGAGGAAGTTGAACTGTGAAGGGAACCCTAATCCTTTTTACCCATATGCCAACTTATACGTTTACTACAGAAATGGAAAATATAATTAGCTGTTTTCACAACCTCATAGAAAAATCTGGAATACTATAAATCCCTAACAGACTGTCACTCAGTGTTGTGTTTTTAGAAACACACCCAACCAACAACTCAAACGTCTCTGAGAAGTCCAGCCACACAATTCTTATTTGGAAACTTGAAAATCGATCTGGACGTCTCCAGGTCTCCCCGGTCTGCTGATTTCAAGTGTGCTGAGGCAGTGGGAGTGCAACGTGTCACTGCACTTCGTGTCCGTCCCTGTGATAGCTTCTCTTTTTAAAGCCTGGTTTTTAATTTTCAGAGGTTTCCCTCTACAGATTGTGCACATGGGGTGGGTGAACGAGAGACTCCAAGGTGCCGACTCCTCTCAGACCTTCCG